ATAACTACTTGTAACTTTCTTCCTTTTCGTAGGCTTACATCGTAAACTTCATAACATATTCCTGTAAGCATACTACTTGCTAACTCCTTTACCCATTTAGACACACGTTCTTTGTTGTAACTTAGGAAAGGTTACTGAATGAGGAATAACCAAAACGGAGGTTGGAAATAAAATGGTAATCTTTATATCATCAACAAAAATACAATACTCACCAGTGGCGTGAAGTAGGTAAACCACTACTAGTGGTGGCCTAGTTAGACAGCATATTACGCCTACTTACAATAGTGCCTAACGTATTTATGAGGATTGGGACATTCCTATTAGTACGATATATATATATATATATAAATATATATATATATATATATATATATATATGTGTGTGTGTGTGTGTGTGTGTGTGTGTGTGTGTGTGTGTGTGTGTGTGTGTGTGAAAATATATAGAAAATAGGTAAGAACTCGTTAGGTAAATAATTGCTCTAGCCGTTACAATAGTAATTTTAATTTTAATAATGAATATGCTTATAGAAACGCGTAAATTTCAAGAATTAGTTATTCAAAAATTTCGCTTGAAGATGGAACAGAGCTTCGTACTTTAATTCAATTCAATTCTAATAATTATATTGAAGTTTTCGGGTCCTGTTTTAAAACATGAGAACTCTTATGTAGCGAAGGAAAGATATTTTAAATAAATAATTATATATATATATATATATATATATATATATATATATATATATATATATATATATATATATATATATATATCATTATTATCTTATAATCTAAAAAATATTTTCTGGCTTTACATAATCTGCAATGGGTTAATAAACCGTAAAAAACGAATCAGTCAATGATACCATGGTGTATGTTTATGTTGTAACATAGGAAAGGTTACTAAATGGTGAATAACCCAAACGGAGGTTGAGAAGGAAATGGTTATCTTTATATCATTAACAAAATACAATACTCGCCAGCGGCGAGTAGGTAAACCACTGATAGTGGTGGACTACTTTGACAACACCCCCACTTACAATAGTGTCCAACGTATTTATGAGGATTAGGACATACCAATTAGTGTTCATAGGTACGGTATATAACACTATACCAAGTCAATATCTATCTATCTATCTATCTATCTATCTGTGTTGTGACATAGAAAAGGTTACCGAATGACGAATAACGAAAATGGAGGTTGGAAATGAAATGCTAATCTTTATAACATCGACAAAATCCAATACTCGCCAGCGGCGTGAAATAGGTAAACCACTGCTAGTGGTGGACTACTTAGACAGCATATTACCCCCAATTACAATAGTGCCCCACGTATTTATAAGGATTGGGACATACCCATTAGTGTTCATAAGTACGGTATATAACATTCTTACAGTTATGTTCAGCCTTGGGCGCCTTTGTCATAGTTCTTCTTTCCCTTCGTTTTGACCTTTTTCTTTATTTTCTTTA